ACTGTTATGGATAAATTCAAATATAAATTTTTATGGATTTATAGATTTATTATTTCAAATATACGGTTATGTTTACTTCTTTTTTGTGGTATCCATCGATTATGGAACTATGGTTATAAACATCGTGTGATTTGACGTATTTTGTTTATTGGATATTTGGCTTGGAATGATTTACTTTGTGGTTTGGATTTCTGTTGTCGTAATATATGATTTAGGACTGGTATGGATAAATTGAAATATAAATTTTTACGGATTTACTATTTCAAATATAAGGTTATGTTTACTATTTTTTGTGGTATCCATCAATTATGGAACTATTGTTATAAATATCGTGTGATTTGATCGTATTTTGTTTATTGGATGGTTTAGAATTATTTACTTTGTGGTTTGGATTTGTGTTGTCGTAGTAAATGATTTGGTACTGTTATGGATAAATTCAAATATAAATTTTTACGGATTTATAGATTTATTATTTCAAATATACGGTTATGTTTACTTCTTTTTTGTGGTATCCATCGATTATGGAACTATGGTTATAAACATCGTGTGATTTGACGTATTTTGTTTATTGGATATTTGGCTTGGAATGATTTACTTTGTGGTTTGGATTTCTGTTGTCGTAATATATGATTTAGGACTGGTATGGATAAATTGAAATATAAAGTTTTACGGATTTACTATTTCAAATATAAGGTTATGTTTACTATTTTTTGTGGTATCCATCAATTATGGAACTATTGTTATAAATATCGTGTGATTTGATCGTATTTTGTTTATTGGATGGTTTAGAATTATTTACTTTGTGGTTTGGATTTGTGTTGTCGTAGTAAATGATTTGGGACTGTTATGGATAAATTCAAATATAAATTTTTACGGATTTACAGATTTATTATTTCAAATATACGGTTATGTTTACTTCTTTTTTGTGGTATCCATCGATTATGGAACTATGGTTATAAACATCGTGTGATTTGACGTATTTTGTTTATTGGATATTTGGCTTGGAATGATTTACTTTGTGGTTTGGATTTCTGTTGTCGTAATATATGATTTAGGACTGGTATGGATAAATTGAAATATAAAGTTTTACGGATTTACTATTTCAAATATAAGGTTATGTTTACTACTTTTTGTGGTATCCATCGATTATGGAACTATTTTTATAAATATCGTGTGATTTGATCGTATTTTGTTTATTGGATGGTTTAGAATTATTTACTTTGTGGTTTGGATTTGTGTTGTCGTAGTAAATGATTTGGGACTGTTATAGATAAATTCAAATATAAATTTTTACGGATTTACAGATTTATTACTTCAAATATACTGTTATGTTTACTTCTTTTTTGTGGTATCCATCGATTATGGAACTATGGTTATAAACATCGTGTGATTTGATCTATTGGATATTTGGCTTGGAATGATTTACTTTGTGGTTTGGATTTGTGTTGTCGTAATATATGATTTAGGACTGGTATGGATAAATTGAAATATAAATTTTTTGGGTAAAAAAAATTACTCATGGAATTACTCACGAAAATTATTCCGTCTCAAAAATCATGTTCATATATTGCAAGGGAAAATTCAGTAAGTAATTCAGTGAGTAAATTACTCACGGAATTACTCATGAAACATTCCGTCGCAAGTAAGAGAGTTTTGTTGATTTTTACTTACGGAACTACTCACAAAATTTGTTCTATGAGTAAATTTACTTACATACAAAGTCCGTGAGTAAGTACGTGAGTAAATTTCTCACGGACAAAATTTCATGAGTAATTTTGTGAGTAGTTTACTTACGGAATTATTCATGGATTTTTCTCGTCAGGAATTACTTACTAGGTATTTAGTAACAGATTACTTACGGACGAAATTCTGCGGATAATTATGTGAGTAATCAATTTACTCACGGATTTTTCATGATTACTCACAAAATTCCGTGAGTAATTTCCGTGACTAAAATGCAGTTTTTTTGTAGTGATATATCTACTTAAATTTAAATATAATTAAAATAATCTCTTTATATATAATATAAAAAAATGATTATAAAGATAAAATATATAAAATAAACTTAAAAAATATATAAAGCCATATATTTATATATATTTATAATAAATATAATAGACTGAAAGAGATTAATTAAAATTTTGAAAAAAAAAATAGATAACAAAAACGAAGAAGAATCTAGAAAAATAAAAAATATAAAAATATTGACCTCTAGAAACTTCTGTCTAACTCTATAACAGACCTATTTTTTTGTTGTTCTGTAATTAGGGTTTTTTTAGTGTTGTTGGTTACGGCCGCCTCAAGCAAATCTGTGTTTCGAGGAAGACAAATTCGAGTACTTTTGTGCTACTTCCAAAATATTTTTGTTTGGAAACAATAGCTTGTAGTACTCTTTCTATCATCCATATTGTCAAGATATTGAAAGAAATTATAGTAACTTTGATTTTTGGTTTGCCTTTTCCGCCTCTTGGAGAGCTTCGGTCTCCGTGTGGGTGATTTGATCATCGGCTTTGAATTTGATGTCTTCTTTGGACGATCCGCAGCTTTGATCTTAGGTTTGTCTTTGCTGCCTTTTTGAGAGCTTTGGTCTCCGTGTGGACGATTTGATCATCTGCTTTGGATTTGGTGTCTTCTTTGATCTTTGGTTTGCCTTTTCCGCCTTTTGAAGAGCTTCGGTCTCCATGTGGACGATTTGATCGTCGGCTTTGGATTTGATGTCTTCTTTGGACGATCCGCAGCTTTGATCTTTGATTTGGCTTTGCCGCCGTTCGGAGGGCTTTGGTCTCCGTGTGGGCGGTTTGATAATTGGTTTTGGATTTGATGTCTTCTTTGGATGATCCGCAGCTTTGATCTTTGAGGAGGTGGATTTGGTGCTCCATAATGCTTTTGGCAGCGTGTTCCTTTGACTTTTTGATCGAAGAGGGTCAAGTTGTTGCTCTGGTGAAAAACGCGATGAACACCTCGAAGCTTTGGGATGAACTTTGGATGCTTTTTCCTTGGCTTTGATGGACTCTTCAATGGCTTTTGAAGCTTTGATCCTTGAACAGGTGGATTTGGTGCTCCATAACACTTTTGGCGGCGTGTCCCTTTGAAGTTTGGATTGAAGAAGGCCTGGTTGATGCTTTGGTGAAGAACGCGATGAACATCTTGAAGCTTTAAGAGGAACTTTGAAGACCTTCCCTTGGCTTTGACGAATTCCTCAATGGCTTTGAGAACTTGATCCTTCCTCCGGCTTGAGCATACGAAGAAGAACGTTAACTTCATCGATTCGTCAACCAATATTGAATCATTTGTCAAAATCAGTGACTTTCGACAAAGAACGCTTCGAAGGACACGAAGAACATGAAGAACAATACAGAGACAGTCTAGAGACTTACCCTTTTGCTTGAATCCTCGATGCAACTTCGGTGTCTCAAATGAATCGGCCATGGCTCTTATTTATAGGGGATGGGTGGCTTTGGCTTCCTTTCTTTAATGGTGCCATATGGCGCATTTTGATTGGCCAATAGGAAGATTTTATAATTTTTCTTTTTCCATCGGATGCTCTTTTCCATTATTGATAGATTTGATTGTGCATCTTTCTTTCTCGTCAAAATCTTTATATCATTGTCCTTTTTCGGAAGATATTAATTTATATACTTCCTTAATTGACAAGATTAATTTATTTTACTGCCAAGTTTATTAGGACTCTATTTATGCACGTAATATTTGTACGATATCTTCTATTTTAAGCAGATTTTTGCATTAATGGTTGATATTTATTGTATAAAAATTAACATATGTGTATAATTAAATACCATATATTTATATTTTTGGAATTTTATTTTCTTCCAAAATACATGATATTTAATTGATTTTAGACATATATTTTTAGTGTCTACGACTACCTCACAACCTCACTTCATCTATCGCTCCAACTGAACCAACCAAAAGAAACAAACAAACAAAACAAAAATCAGGCAAGAATATCAACTAGATATTTGGAAACTCAAAATCAAATTTGGGGAAATACAGAACTGAGACAGTCCAATCCGAATCAGAGAATCCTGTGTAACATAATAAGGAGATAGAAGATTATCTAATTAAAAAAAATAACTTAATATTAAGATAGTAAAATGAGAGATGATTCTTGAGGTACGTACCTTCACTCCATATGCAAATGTCGTATTTCTTAGTTTTCAAACCCTCTTTATTATATTTATATATTAAATATCAAAAGAGAAAAGATTTATAATTTTCTAAGGAGGTCAATCCAATTATATTAATCTAATTTGTATTGTGAAAATAGATAGATTATATTTAATTTTAGAGAGTGAGACCAAAGTGGCTTCATCATCAAGGAGAGTGAAAGATTCTCCACACGATAGCTAATAGATTATTAATAGATTATTGAATAATGGATTGTCACAAATAAATTAATAAAACTTTAAATATATAAGTTATAATTTTAACATAAATATTATATTATTCAGATATATATATATTTATTATCCTTCACAATTAAATTATTTCATCTTAAATAAGATTTTTTCCACTTTCATCCTTCAAATTTTCTATTTATATTTATATTTAAAAACTCGTAATGTATATAATACTACATGATATAGGTACCTAATATATATATAACTTCTAATTATGCAAAACAAGAAAAATAAATAAATATATCTACATAAAGTGTTAATAAGTGATAAATTTAAATTTTAACTATATTTAAAGTAATCTCTTTATATATAATATAAAAAAAAATAATTATAAAGATAAAATATATAAAATAAACTTAAAAAATATATAAATGCATATATATATATATATAATAAATATAGTAGACTGAAACAGATTAATTAAAAATTTAAAAAATTAGATAATAATCAAACGAAGAAGAATCTAGAAAAATAAAAAATATAAATCAATATATAAAAATATTGACCTCTAGAAACTTCTGTTTAACCCTATAAAAGACCTATTTTTTTTTTTGTTCTGTAACTAGGGTTTTTTAGTGTTGTTGGTTACGGCCGCCTCAAGCAAATATGTGTTTTGAGGAAGACAAATTCGAATATTTTCTCTAGATAATTACTATTGTGCCTCAAGTACTTTGTGTTACTTCCAAAATATTTTTGTTTGCTCTGTTTGTTGTTTATCGCTTCAGTTGGATGAGATGAGATGAAGGAGGCTTGAGTACTCTTGAGTGACAGGATTTGGCTGAGAATTGGGAAATCTAAAATGAGGCTGTAGTATGTGGTGGTTAATTAAAAATGTATGTGAGGTAGGTAATTCTTCTATTTCTTGCAGTTGGTTTACTTTATATCATTTTCAGAATGGATCATGGAGATGATTCAAGATGTCTCATATGTAAACCCTTGAATTATTTTTGAAGCATTTGCTGATAAATCGTTTGTCTTAACCCCTTTCCCCAGCAACCGAAATCTGAGGCGTGGAAGAAACACTCGTCGTATTGGGGGAGTAAAAGCAGAGGACGCCCTCACAAAAACTCATCGGATGATGAACGCTGCCGCTACGCAAAGAAATACAAAAGAAGGCGCAAAGCAAATGGAAGTAGCTCAAAAAGGGGTCTCGAACAATCAGTGTGCTGGCCTGACTGCAGCAAGCATTGCCGGATCTTCCACCAGAGACAGCTAATTTGCAATCGGCTGCGCCATGCGTGCAATAGGCCTCAGGTTTTCATTACTATTCGCTGCAATGCTGAATTCTTGTCTCATAAATCTCATGAAGGAATGTATGGATGGATTGATTGTATTGTTTTAAAGCCTCGTCTTTTCTTACAGGAAAATCGGCAAATAAAGTTCCATGTACAAAAGAAATCAGAATCATTGTGGAATGGTGGAAGTATTTGGTTAAGGGTGAGCCGGAGATTGGCACAAAAAGTAGAGCCGGAAAACAGCAAGTTGTCTGATCTCGACCCAGAAACACCGGCGACGGTGGAAAAAGTGATGGTAAGCTTTGATAATCCAATTAGATTTCTAATTCATCCGCTCTAATGGGCACATGTTTGAGTAATCAATAAGTTGAATCTATTTTAATTTGACTTTTGGAATCAGCTGATCAGTGCTTTGAACGGACTTCCAGCTTATTTAGCATATACTCGGACAACAAGAGTTAAGAGGCCGGAACACTCATTCAAGCTGTTTGGATGAACACATCGGTACCCCAAGAACTCCTGGCATGTAGCGTCAACAAATGTGCTTAATAGGGGAAGAAGAGGTCGATTGGTACAAGGTTCTCAGTGTGAACCCATCTGATGCAGAAGATGTCATTAGAAAGCAGTACAAGAGGTGGGCACTTGTGTTGCATCCAGATAAAAACAGCTCTAATGGAGCCAATGGTGCCTTACACTTAATTTTAGTTGCTTGGGACTTATTCTCCGACAAGCCGTAAAGGCTTGAGAATGGGTTGAAACGGGGCACTGTCAAAATTCTAGGCGAATAGAATGTAACTACATTATCCGAAGTTTATGGTGAATTATGGCAATGTTTTAAGCATTTATACTATTATGTACATTTCTACATTGATAGGAGATTATATCATCGACTTTTGTTATGAAAAATAATTTATCTCCACATAAGCTTGACGAACCCAATCGTGATGTGAGAAGCCTAAGCTAGCAATTATTAAATCCTTTGTTATCATGAGAAAATATTTAAAAACATAAGTTATATATCATAAACAATAAACCGGCAATCGCTACTAGAGTGAACACTCACATATTTCATTTAATTAGGTTCTAAGCAAGGACTACTACTTCGTAGAGTTATGTCCAACTGCTGTGCTGCTTTGTTTAAAAGCTTTACAAATTTCTGCATATTTTTTATCGCACAATTAAGGCAAATGTTTATTTCCGACGCTTGAGCTATATTGATATGTATGGTGATTTGCATGCACCGATTACACCTATAAATCAAGAGTTTAACTCACCTACCTTGTGGACATTATAAATGTTAGTGACTACTCTATATATGTTGAGGTCAGCCAGGGCGTCATATTTTAGGTCGACAACACTGCTTGCGGCATTCGCAGCTTGCCATTGAAGAAAACAGTAAACAATCTACACGGAAAGTGTAAAACATTTAGTTAACAATAGAAAATGGCAAAACAGGTAAGCTATGTAAATCTAATGCAGCCAATAATATTTCATATGTGGTTCTGGAAAGAGAATTTATTATCTGAAATCAACAACCAATATGTTAGAATTTACAACATACATCGAACGCATTCAAAAATGTGTATTCTCTCTATCACTGCCCTATATTAAATTATACCAAAACAAGTTTATTTGGTAACACCCCCTCTTAAACTTGTGATCTTCATCCTTTGGTTTCCCACAGCCTCTTGTGAATCCTCTCTTTTACTCAAGTTTAAAGTGGTCGGCAACATTTAGGTTGGTGGCTCAACTCGAGTTCTCATCCTCTCTTCGTGGGCTTGCAACAAACCCAACAACTGATCGACTTAAAGTTCTTCCAGGTTTCTCTGTTCTTCAATTGCAGTGACCACATAATCGAACTTCGTGGGTAGCGACCGAAGTATTTTTTAATCACTTGAATATCGGTAATTTTCTCATCGTATCTCTCAATTTGGTTTACCACAACCAGAACTCTATTGAAATATTCTTCAACCAACTCACCTTCTTTCATCACAAGTCTCTGTAACCGTACCTTGATTACTTTCTCCATCCCCTTGAATGAATTACTCAATATTTCCCAGGCCTCCTTTCACAACTCACCTTCAGATTTGATGTCTTCTTTGGACGATCCACGGCTTTGATCTTTGGTTTGGCTTTGCCGTCTTTTGGAGAGCTTTGGTCTCCGTCTGGGCGATTTGATCATTTGCTTTGGATTTTGTGTCTTCTTTGGACAATCCGCGACTTTCATCTTTGGTTCGCATTTTCTGCCTTTTGGAGAGGTTCCGTCTCCGTGTGGACGATTTGATCGTCGGCTTTGGATTTGATGTCTTCTTTGGAGGATCCGCAACTTTGATCTTTGGTTTGGCTTTGCTGCCGTTCGGAGGGCTTTCGTCTCCGTGTGGGCGGTTTGATAATTGGTTTTGGATTTGATGTCTTCTTTGGACGATCCGCAGCTTTGGTCTTTGAGGAGGTGGATTTGGTGCTCCATAACGCTTTTGGCGGCGTGTCCCTTTGACTTTTGGATCGAAAAGGGCCGAGTTGTTGCTTTGGTGAAAAATGCAATGAACACCTCGATGCTTTGGGATGAACTTTGGATGCTCTTCCTTGGCTTTGATGGACTCTTCAATGGCTTTTGGAGCTTTGATCCTTGAACATGTGGATTTGGTGCTCCATAACACTTTTGGCAGCATGTTCCTTTGACTTTTGGATCGAAGAAGCCCTGGTTGATGCTTTGGTGAAGAACGCGATGAACATCTTGAAGCTTTAAGAGGACCTTTGGAGACCTTCCCTTGGCTTTGACGAATTCCTCAATGGCTTTGAGAGCTTGATCCTTCCTTCGGCTTGAGCATACAATGAAGAACGTTACCTTCAATGATTCTTGAACCAATATTGGATCATTTGTCCAAATCAGTGACTTTCGACAAAGAACGCTTCGAAGGACACGAAGAAGAATACATAGAGAGTCTAGAGACTTACCCTTTTGCTTGAATCCTCGATGCAACTTCGGTATCTCAAATGAATTGGATGACTCCTATTTACAAGGGATGGGTGGCTTCGGCTTCCTTTTTTTAATGGTACCATGTAGCGCGTTTTGATTGGCCAATAGGGAGATTTTATAATCTTTCCTTTTCCATCAGATGCTCTTTTCCATTCTTGACGGATTTAATTGTGCACCTTTCTTTCTCGTCAAAATGTATGCCAGGTAGGTAGTTCATACATTTCTTGAAGTTGGTGTACTTTCAGTCATACATTTCTTCAAGATCGTTGAGGTGTTTGCGGAACTGTCTTTGCAGCATTTTTTGTAATACCCCAATTTTGGAGTGTATAAAATAATATTATCATAGCAAATAAATATTTTTATAATATTTTGGAATCAAGAAATTAATACTCTGGAATAAATTTTATTCCTATTTTATATATTGATTATGATTGAATAGACTGTTAAACGGATAAATATCGATAAAGATAAATATAAAATATAATATATATATATAATAATATCATAATAATAATAATAATAATGATAAGGATGGATGATAACGAAGATATAATAAGGAGGATAGGTGAGATGTCTCACCAGCCCTTTTCGGTAAATTCACTTATTTGGCATGTTGCACACATATTGCACGATTTATCGGATATGATTTGTGGATCTATCGTCTAGTCGCCGTGTGCGGTAGTGCTAGGCGAGGGCATCATCTGGGGTTAGGATATTCGACCCCGATGTACCGTAACACTTTGGCGATAGTGGAGATAGTAGTCGGACAACTGGGTGACTTAGTCGCACGGTCATTCAGGGATTAGACCCATTGTAGTTGAGACGTATTCGGTCTAATCATTCGTGTTCGGTGTTGTTCCACTCATTGGAGTAGCTACTAGTGAGGTCTACCGGTAGTTTAGGATCATATGCCAAACTCCAAACGTGATCCCGTTAGGGCGCGCGAGGAGGAGTAGAGTTTCCGGGTTTCCCTTGGGTGATTCCAGATTGCACGGATTCTATTACATTACACGGGATAGGGCTAGTCAGCGGGGATCCTATCTTCGCTATCACAGACTATGGGGCGTCTTGTGGTTAAGCATTTATACTATTATGTACATTTCTACATTTATCCGAGATTATATCATCAGACATTGTTTTTGGAAAAATAGTTGCGCGCAGAGAAAGAAAATTAAAAATAATTCAAGAAAAATAGAACCGCGGGCATGAATCTTGGCCTTGAGATCCTTGAATATATTATCTTTCACGTGAGAGTGAGAGGCCAAGTATTGAATAAGTTCCTTAATGAACGATCCTTCTCCTTTGGAGGAGGTGCTTCCTTCGGGTCACCAAAAAGGCATCTCATAACATACTTCACCTGAATCTATATTTGAAATAAACAATTACAGGACCCTCTCTAATCAATCTAATATTGATATTAGATCTATTAGCCGTGAACATGCCCATGAAATCATAAAATGTTGATTCCCCGTGCTCTGCGATTAGCTTGCACTTGTACAATGGCCCTTTTCAAGTCATACTTAAGCCTCTCCGCCTTGTCAAAGATCAAATCCCAAGAAACTTGAATCAACTAAAAGACGCCTTTCGCACCAACAGATCTGTTTTTATCTGTATCTGCATCAGATTGCTTCACTCCAAGAGCCTTGTACCAATCGACCTCTTCTTCATCGACCTTCTGTACAGACAGATAGACATAAATTGTGGATAAAAGTTTTGTGATGGCATCTAAGTCTGGATGCACAGCTTTTGCTTGCAACGCAACGCCAACTTCTTTGCCTCGACATAATTCTCCTGCCCTAATATTTCCTCAGCTCATCTTCATGTTGTTCCATCTTAGAGTAGACTTCACCAAATAGCTCCTTAATTCACACTGGTCATGATATAAAATGTTCGGATTCTTTACAATCAAAATTTCAAAATCAATTGATCGAGTCTAAAATGTAATCATAACACATGCAAAATTGAAGCTCGAATAATAATAAAATAAACTAATTTAAATTAAAATAAATTAACATGTAATGGCAAAAGTTGAATGAAGTAGGTAACTTTTGTTATTTTTTCTCTTTTTTTTTGTTTTTTGAATGCTAACCTTAAATTATGTAAAAACTGAAAAACAACAATTGACTGAAACAATTTAAAGACCACATTTTACTTTGATCATTGAATTAATAGTTCTATAAGAGCAACCGTTATAGTTATTATCTTTACTTCATTACTTCTTATATCTCTCTCATCCAAATCATATTTATTCCAACTTTTACATTACCTCATTTATCACCTCTTAAATCACATTCAACCTATTACTTTTACTATAAAATACTATTCACAATACTTTATTTTATTTCTATATATTTTTATTATGTAATAATATATATATAAATAATTTATTTATATATTTTTTTATTACTTAATAACCTTTTTAATAATATTATATTTTAAATTTTAAATATTAATCAATATAAATTTTAATAATTTGAAGCATATAATTTATTATTCCGACGTAAACAAGCTCGCGACTCTAATAGAAATAAAATTGAATATGAAAGTTATAGAACAAAATATAAACTTAAAATATGATAGATAATTTCTGTTGAATTTAAAATTTCAAAATTTCTTGGATAATATTTTATTATTTTCTATTATTTTTGTTAAAGGTAATTAGTTCTTAAGAAATGTAATATATTTATATAATTCTATTTCTTGTTAATGGTAATGAACATTGTCATAGTAAGAACTGGAAAGGTAATCAGAAAGGCAACGAAGAAAGTGACGGTAACGGATGCTCTAAGGGTGCGCTTGTTTGAAGGATTTGTGTCGACTTATACTATGGACACAAATTTTTTCCCCAAAAAATATCAAATCAAATACATATTTTTCATTTTCAATATTATACTAAAAATTAACTTTA